AGAGCTATCACTAGTTTTCTACATTCAGGACAACTTTCACGAATTTTGGGTGGTGACTTAGTGGAATCTCTCCTTCACTCTGATGGTGTTCGTTGACTAGGGGTTTCGCTGATGGAACATATCTTAAGAGCGTATAAAACCCACAGACAACAAAAAATAACGATTTTTCATCCTTAGCAGTCTGTTTTTTTTTTAACTAAGCAGAGTCCATACTATGGCAGGTGCTGCGAGGTAGAAGAAAAAATAACGTCAGCCAATGGCAGCAGGCTGATCTAACGGAGGACTTTGATTGGCCACCGAAAGCAAGCAAGCTGAACAGATCGAATGCCAGTCAATCGTAAGGCCCCAGGTGGCGTGTCATATGAAGGGGCTTGAAAATGACCCTAAATGATATGGGTGCTGTGCGAAACTGCATGGATACTAACGGAAGGAAAGCAAATTGCGCATAAATGCTATAAGTAACGGTTGCTAAATGGTTATGAAAACGTTGGTTCCACGTAGTTCAATGTGAAATACTTTTGAAGATTGCGTATACAGCAGAATTTAACGGAACCATAAACTTTGCGAGTGCTCATCAGCTAAATCCTCTCGCTGCAATTGGCAATTGGCAGCCAGAGCTAAGGAGCACTTGCCAAGTTGGCTATTGAAAGAGGAGAATAGGACTCCCCGTTCTTCCATTATTGAACACCTATTGGATACGGGGCATTCTGTAGACCCCAAAATATCCTTCCGAGTACTTGTTCGGGCACGAACAACTCGTACATTGCGCTACCCGGAGGTAGCCTGCATAAGAATCTCAAAATCCCGCCCTATGTAAACAGTTGGAGCATGTTGTGAGTCTTGCTTTGCCCTGGTAACATCAGGCTCCCTGATTCACACCTCCCCCTGCCCGCATTTCCGCTTTAACGTTTTTACCCCTATCACACTATCCACAGTGCTTCACTTGCTTACGTTATTAATTGGCCTAATTAGCCCAGATTACTAATTGACCTTCCTGACCTGTTTTACG